CCTTATGACCTTTGACACTATATCCAGACAAGTTACCATAAGCTGGAAAGTCATTGATTGTGCAAAAAAGCATTGCATGCAACTTAAAAGTCTCCTTCCGGTATGCGTCAAACACTAACACACCTTCATCCCATAATTGCTTCAAGTCATCAATCAAAGGCGCCAAAAAAACATCTATATCATTGCCTGGTTGTTTTGGCCCAGAAATCATCAAGCTTAATAATATGTATTTGCGTTTCATACACAACCACGGGGGTAGATTATAAATTATCAACATAACTGGCCACGAGCTATGCTTGCTACTTAGGTTCCCGTGAGGGTTAATACCATCAGTACAAAGTCCAAGTCTAAGATTTCTCGACTCGTGGCCAAATTCAGGAAATGCATTATCAAATGTTATCCATTGAGAAGAATCAGCCGGGTGTCGAAGCTTGCCATCGGAAATTCTTTCATCTGCATGCCATGATAAGTTCTTCGCATCGCTTGGATTTGCAAACATGCGCTTAAATCTTGGAAGAATTGGGAGATACCACAAAACTTTAGCTGGTGGACTTTTCAAACGTACTTTACCACTCTCTCTTGTTTTATAACGAGATGCCCCGCATATTGGACATGCATGCAAGTCTTTGTAATCATTCCTAAACAATATGCAATCGTTAGGGCAAGCATGTATTTTTTTGTATCCCATACCCATGGGACACAACATCTTTTTGGCATCATATGTACTCTTGGGAAGTTCATTACCATCTGGAAGCATATCATTGACTATTTTAAGTAAAGCAGTAAAGCTCCTGTCGCTCCACCCATTCCCAGCTTTCAAGTTGAATAATTTTAATACAGCAGATAATCTGGTATATTTACTACACCCTGGCCATAAAGGTTGTTTTGAATCATTCAATAATTCATCCAACTCATTTGACCGATTGGTAAACTCTTCTCCAACATCGCGAAACATTTCATCCAACCGATCTTCAGACTCATCATCTTCATTGTCAACATACATGTTAGATGTTGTAGCCACATCGCTTTCACCGTGCCAAATCCATTGTGTATAATATGGATTAATCCCATTAACAATTAGATCATCATATATGTCTTCTTCACCTAACATTTTCTGATTACAACATTTCGTACAAGGACAGAAGAACCTCTTATTACTATTCGGAAGGTTATTATTTGCAAACTGTAAAAAATTTCTAACTCCATCTTCATATTCCTGACTAAGTCGATTAGCTTTCATCCAACTTTTATCCATCACAAGCCAATCTAAAATAATAATAACCTAGTTAAACATTTGTTAACAACATTTTAACAAATTTATATAATTATAACTACTACAACAACTACACTATATTCATTTCGGCCAATTAGTATTACATTTTTCTCACAACATTTTAAGTTAAATTATTTGGTAAGTTATATACTTGAAAAGGCAAATTATGGACCAAGATTCACCTAGCATGGTGGGCCTTGGTCCAAAACAACATCATTTTATATTAAGTATCAACTAGTGCAATATATTCAATATATAACATCATCATGTATTATACACTTAGCTTGTTCACTTAAATTATTTGGTAAGTTATATACTTGAAAAGGCAAATTATGGACCAAGATTCACCTAGCATGGTGGGTCTTGGTCCAAAACAACATCATTTTATATTAAGTATCAACTAGTGCAATATATTCAATATATAACATCATCATGTATTATACACTTAGCTTGTTCACTTAAATTATTTGGTAATATAAGTTATATACTTGAAAAGGCAAATTATGGACCAAGATTCACCTAGCATGGTGGGCCTTGGTCCAAAACAACATCATTTTATATTAAGTATCAACTAGTGAATATATTCAATATATAACATCATCATGTATTATACACTTAGCTTGTTCACTTAAATTATTTGATAAGTTATATACTTGAAAAGGCAAATTATGGACCAAGATTCACCTAGCATGGTGGGCCTTGGTCCAAAACAACATCATTTTATATACACAATAATAATATTTCAAGATATACACAATAATATATAAACAAAATTTCATAAAATTCCACATATACACACAACAATTCATAATTGACCCACTAACTTATAAAATTAAATATATACACAATTATTCCTAAAATTTTAAAAATATACACAATAATAATATATAAAATTCAAAATTCAAAAAATATATATACATAACCATTTTTAATTTATAATATATATATATATATATATATATATATATATATATATATATATATATATATATATATATATATATATATATATATACGTACGTACCTTGGGGACGACGTTGTTGGCGACCGGCGACGACGTGCGAGGCCGAAGACGACGGCTTAGGGCGACGGCGAGGACGACGGCGAGCGAGGCCGAGGCCGAAGACGACGACGTGCGGAGAGCGAGGCCGACGGCAGTGGACGACGGCTTAGGCGGCGGTGGAGAGCATCGGTGGCGTAGGGCGTTCGGCGGCGGTGGCGTACGGCGGATGGAGCAGTGGGCTGAGGAGTGAGCAGTGAGCTAGGGCATTTGGAGCAGTACGTGAGCTTTTTGGAGTAAGTATGTATGTACCTAGCTAGCTAGCTCGCTTCATAAATTTTTTTTTTTTTAATTTATGTATACGGCGTCGGCGTTATACGACGCCGACGCCGTATACCATTTAAATATATTTTTTTTAATTATAGTAAATACGGCGTCGGAGATTAATTCTCCGACGCTGTATCTACTATTTATTTTTTATTTTTTTAAAAAAATTCGAGTATACGGCGTCGGCGATATACGTCGCCGACGCCGTATACCATTTTAATTTTTTTTTTTTAATTATACGATACGGCGTCGGAGATTTAACTCCGACGCCGTATCTCCTATTTATTATTATTATTATTTTTTTAATTTGAGTATACGGCGTCGGCGTTATACGTCGCCGATGCCGTATACCATTTTTATTTTTTTATTTTTAATTATTAGAGATACGGCGTCGGAGATTAATTCTCCGACGCCGTATCTACTATTTATTTATTTTTTTTTTTTAAATTCAAGTATACGGCGTCGGCGATATACGTCGCCGACGCCGTATACCATATATATATATATATTATTTGAGATACAGCGTCGGCAACGTATAACGCCGACATCGTATCTCGTATTTATTTTTTATTTATTTTTTATTTTATATACGGCATCGGCCATACCAAATAACCGACGTCATATGTATTTTTTAAAAAAATAAAAAATAATTTTAAATATTTAACGTCGGATTTTCAAAAAACCGACGTTATAATGTAGACGTTAAATCCGTTTTCTGTAGTAGTGTGTTTTGGAGCTCATGAGATAAGACTAATTTACTCTTAGAGTTGGGATTCTAACCTTTTGGAAGAATGAGATAAGACTAATTCATTAAGTTTCAATTAGAACAATTCTAATTTAGGGGTGTAAATGAGCCGAGTCGCTCACGAGCAACTTGTGAGCAGCTCGTTTGATAATCGAGCTCGAGCCGAGCCTAGATATTCTAGGCTCGTGACTCGTCGAACCGCTCGCGAGTCGTATAATATATAATATTTATAATATATAATATAACATAATATAATTATAATATATAAAAATAACAATTAAAAAGTTCAAGATCAAGTTCCAGCTCGAGCAGCTCAAAAATTACCGAGCTCGAGCTCGAGCATCAGTTCTTGAGTTCGATCGAACTCGAGCTCGAACATTAGTTCTTGAGTTCGATCGAACTCGAACTCGAACTCGAGCTCGAGCCGAGCTTCCATTGAAGAACTCGAGCTTGAGCATTAGTTCTTGAGCTCGAGCCGAGCTTCCATTGATGAGCTCGAGCTCGGTTCGACTCATTTACACCCTTACTTTAATTTATTAAATTTCAGTCAAGTTTCATTTGGAGTAACTCTTTTACGAGTGTTGCCGCAAAGAATTAGATACTTATTATCACTGCACTCTTAATTTTATATTATAAATTATAAATTCATTCTCTTTGCTAATAGAACCTTCTAATGCTATTTCAATTTTGTCTACCTAAAAAAAATCAATTAAATTCCTTTTAAATGTTCGATCATATATAGTATAGAACCTGATGAATTAACAATGTCAAAAAGTTGTATCTATCAAGAGATCAAAATTACAATACTTTAATTTTACAATGTTATAGTTTCGTTCTCAAAGTGAACTAAAATGATTCATGACATGTAATAGATCGAGCGATTAACAATTTTTTTTTTTATTATTATTATAACTCAAATCTTGTATGATTATGAATGAATTAGTTGATGAGTGAAAGTAGAATATTATGTTTGATATTTATTAATAGAATTAATTCTATTTTTGGTCATAGATTTATAGATGATAGTTTATTTTTAATTTTTTTATCAGAACATTCCTTTTAGGTTATTGTATTATTGTGATATGATCAATTTTAGTCCTTTATCAATTTTTTTTTTTTATTATTATAACTCAAATCTTTTATGATTATGAATGAATTAGTTGATGATGAGTGAAAGTAAAATATTATGTTTGATATTTATTGATAGACTTAATTTCATTTTTTGTCATAGATTTATAGATGATAGTCTATTTTTAATTTTTTTTTTAAATTTTTTTTATCAAAACATCCCTTTCAGGTTATAGTATTATTGTGACATGACCAATTTTAGTCCTCTATCAAAAAAATCATTGAAATTACGCTAAATACAAGAGTATTTCGATTTTCAATTTTGAAATTTTTCAAAAAATAAACATAAAATATAAACGGATCAACGCACTTTATATTAAAAAGAAAATGTCTTTATATTTAATGAAATTTTAACGATTTTGTGAATATAGGGCTGAAATTAATCATGTTACAATAATACTAAAATAAAAAATGAATATATTTTGATAAAAATGACTAAAAGGTGGATAAATTTAAGAGGGAAAATGGAATTAACTCTTATTGATATTTGAAGTTTGAAAAATGAAATAAAAGTAGTTCACGGAAGGAAGAAATGATGATAAATGTACGTGGCAAAGAATAGAACAGCGGAGGGAATGATGCATACAGTTGAAGAAATGAGGCGATTGTGCATGCCTGCCACGAAGAAACCCCTTCTAACTTCCAATTCCGCCGCCTACTCTTCTTCCATCTCAATCTATCCTTCTACTTATCATCATATACCTAGCTACTAGCGCCCGCACCTATCACCATATCACTTCACAAATCAGATTGAGATCGATAATTGAGATAGCTGAGATTTAGATTTATGGCTACTGCTACAGACCGTAACGCCGCCTTCTCCACGGAGGCGCCTTGCGCTCCGGTCACCGTCGAGCGCAAGGTCCATGCCGATCTCGATTCCTCCATTCCTAAGCCCTGTAAGTTCATCCATCCGGATTTTAATTTGATCGAATTGGCCGCTACGGTGTCTCTGATATCATCAATTCAATTCACTCATTATATTCTTCGATCGGATGTTCAGATATGGCGAGGGGATTGGTGGCGGTGGACTGCGAGCATCCGAATGGGACTCCGGGACGGAAGCATAACAATATGAGTGTTCTTCAACAGCACGTCGCCTTCTTCGACCTAGACAACAATGGAATCATCTATCCATGGGAGACTTATTCTGGTAACAATTGAATAATTAATGTATGAAAGTTCAGCTTTAATTTCGATCGATCTTCATCTTCTTCCCACTGCGCAGCGTCTCGTCAACTAGGGTTCAATATGATTCTGTCCGGTTTAATAGCAGCCGTCGTTCATCTAGCTATGAGTTACGCAACTCTCCCAGTAAGTCCATCATATCCTCCATAAATTCAACCATCAATCTCGTTACGTTGTCATCAGAATTGAATTGAAGCATCTGTTTCATCTCAACTAAATGTATGTCTAAGTTGATAGTTTGAATTTGAATTGCACATTTATGTTTATATATTATATACTTAATACATCTCGTTGTGATTGGAGGATGATGGTCATAATTGAAGCATGTGTAACATCTTCTCACGTATGCGGGCCAATTACTTTTTTTTATAGGCTCTCATACTAAATTTTAATAATCATGTAGCTTCCTTCTTGTGCAGGGGTGGATTCCTTCCCCTTTTCTACCCATATACATACAAAACATACACAAAGCAATGCACGGGAGCGATTCCGAAACCTATGATGCAGAGGGGAGGTATCTTCCAGCACACTTCGAGAATATCTTTACCAAGTACGCACGCACGGTCCCGGACAAGCTCACCTTGTGGGAGGTATTGTGGATGACCGAAGGCAATCGCGACGCATTCGACCTCTTCGGCTGGGTTGCGGCCAAAATGGAGTGGGGAATTTTGTACTTGCTGGCCAGAGACGTCGACGGTATGCTGTCGAAAGAGGCGATCAGGCGATGCTTCGACGGCAGCTTGTTTGATTACTGTGCAAAGATACAAAGGAGTCGCGAAGGAAAGATGGAATGAAACTAGAAGCATAGAATGAATCCTCTTAATAATAGGGTTACGTTGTATAGCTTAGCCCTAGCTTAGCTTAGCTTGTACTACTTTCTGCTAAGAGTTAGAGGTAATAACTAATAACAAATCACAATTTAGAACGTTAGTTCAACCAACTGATAAAAGAACTTAATTGGCAAAGGAGGGCATATAATGTTCTAAAATGAAATCTGCAAAACTATTGTAAAGTTCAAAAATTTTGCATTCATGCGGTTCAGCCATTCAGACAATGGCATTAGCTGCACTGGCAATCCTTGGCCATAAATCAACGCATTCTTTCCCAATTGGACCAGTAATACATAAACAGCTGTTAAGGAATATATGGAGATTGAGGCTATAAGATGGAACTCATGCAAAAATAAGATTATGATACTTTTGGGTTGACTATATATTACACCGGCATTATCTGCGAATACGGAGCAATACAAGTTACGCATCCCAAATAGTTTTAGTACATAATAATACAAATTAATAATAATTATAATTAATGCCTATCTGTTACAGCCGTTCACGATAATCAATAACGGATGTTAAAGCCGCTCTATTTGATATGGCTCCTGAGAAAGTACCGGGGCCGGACGGGCTGTCACCGGCGTTCTTTCAACATTTCTGGCCGGTGATAGGCCATGATCTATTTGATATGGCTCCTGAGAAAGTACCGGGGCCGCACGGGCTGTCACCGGCGTTCTTTTAACATTTCTGGTCGGTGATAGGCCATGATCTATCCGTTTTCATTATTACATGTGTGGAAACTAAGAGTTTCCCACATGGACTTAATGAGTCTAATATTGTTCTAATCTCTAAAAAGAATGTCCTGGAGAAAGTCGCTGATTTGCGCCTGATTGCGCTTTGTAACGTTGTATACAAAGTATTGGTTGAGATATTAGCTAATAGACTGAAGGGATGTTTGGATCAAGTAGTGTCACAATCGCAAATGCGTTTATACCTGAGAGGCTTTTAACTGACAATATTATAGTGGCCGGTGAGATTGGGCACTATTTACGGAGGAAAACTGGCGGGGCTATGGGGTGGGCGGCGTTGAAGCTATATATGGCTAAGGCGTACGACAGAATGGAGTGGTATTTTTGGGCGGGATACTGGGGGCGTTGGGTTTTGATAGGGGTTGATAGATTTAATTATGTTGTGTGTTGCTACTGTGAAATATGCTGTTTTGGTAAATGGTGAGGCTGTGGGTCAGGTGTGTCATTCTCGGGGGATCGGCCAAGGGGACCCGTTGTCGCATTACCTATTTATAATATGTGCTGAAGGACTGTCAATCCTTTTGCAACAGGCAGAGGCCCATGGGGATATTCATGGAGTGAGGGTGGCCCCGGGGGCCCCCGGCTATCACTCACCTGTTTTTTTGCTGACAACAGCTTACTATTTTTCAGGGCTACTCAACAAGAAGCTTTAAAAGTTAACGGCTGTTTAGAACTGTACAGTTTGGCTTCAGGGCAACTCATTAATTATGAGAAGTCGAGCGCGGTGTACAACTTTAACACGGCAACACATGCAAGGGAGTTGGTTAGTGAGTGTTTGGGGGTCCGTGCTGCAGATGACCTAGGGCGGTACCTGGGACTCCGGTCAGTCTTGGGGCGGAATAAGACAGCCACGTTCAAATATATTGAAGAGAATGTACGGGCCCGTATGGGCTTGTGGACGCATAAATTTTCGTCTCCCGCAAGTAAAGAAATTTTACTCAAAAGCATAGCACAGGCTCTCCCAATTTTTACCATGTCATCCTTCTTACTACCATTACGTGTTTGTGACACTTTAGAAAAAATGTTTAACCAATTCTGGTGGGGAGGTGACGGTACGGGGAGCCGTGGTATACATTGGTTGAGTTGGTCACGGATGTGTATACCGAAGTCGGAGAGTGGACTTGGTTTCAAGAAACTACATGAGTTCAACTTAGCGTTATTGGCCAAACAAGGTTGGCGTTTGTTAATTCATCCGGCATCTTTGGTTAGCCGTTTACTAAAAGCAAAATACTATCCCTCGATAGATTTTATAGGGGCACAACTAGGCGGCAACCCGAGCTTTATATGGCGGAGTATTATGGCCGGACAACATGTGTTACGGCTGGGCATTGCACGGCGCATTGGAAATGGGTTAGATACGAAGATATGGGGCTGGAATTGGCTGGCGGATTCGAATAATGCACCGCTTAATACCCCGTGCGCTGAACATCTGCAAGAGGCTAGGGTCAGGGGTTTGCTCGATGACCAAGGGAGATGGGATGAAGGGGTTGTTCGTGATCTCTTCTTGGCTACTGACGTGCAAAGGATTCTCGCTACTTCGGTAAACAACCAGTTTAAATTCATGGAGGTGGGTGGGAGACATCCGAGGGAGATATACAGTTAGGCATGGCTATCAACTCATCACACGCAATGATATGCAATGTGTGGAACTTGGGGGCTTTCGTGCTTGGAAGGCTATGTGGGCACTGCCAATCCCACCAACAGTGAAGAATTTCTTGTGGCATTGTGCGAGAGGTGTGCTACCAGTCTGGGATAATCTGCGACAAAATAAGGTTTGGATTGGAGGTGGCTGCCCTATGTGCGGCCACGTGACGGAAACAACGGAGCACCTATTCTGCGAATGTGTGTTTGCGAGACGTGTATGGGAAGGGGATAATATTTTGCAAGGGAGATGGCTGTTTAGTTTCATGGACTTCATGATTGGTAACTCGCCCACCGTTGTGGCTGTTAAGCTCGCTGCCGTCTTCTGGACCACTTGGCGCCTTCGCAATGAGGTTGTCTGGCACAACAAGACGTTATCCGTGGTGGAGGCTTGCGAACGAACGAAATATCTCCAAGAGACCTGGGCAACAGCCTTTTCCACAGCACATCGACTAGCCAGACTCACCGGTAGCGCTGGGGTCTGGACGCCGCCGCCTCGGAACTCCACGAAATGTAACGTTGATGCGGCTACCTTCGCGACTGGGGCTAGTTTTGGCGCTGTCATACGTGATCATAATGGCAGTTTTGTTGCAGCGAAGAGTGGGTGGTTCGATGGTGTTAGCGACCCATTCTTGGCCGAGGTTCTTGCAGCCAAAGAGGCTTTGGTTTGGATCAAAGAGCAAGGCCGAGAAAACTGCTTGATAGAGTCTGACTGTTTGAATTTTTGTAACGCTTTTAATTCCCGCAATGTTGATTTTTCTTACGTAAGTTTAATTGTGAAGCAATGTTTGTCGATTGCTAATGATATGGAGACTATAAGGGTGGTCCATATTAAGAGAACAGCAAACCGTGTGGCTCATGAGCTTGCTCGGGCAACCGTTTCGGAGTCTGTCTCGGGGGAGTGGGCGTTTATCCCACCGACTTGTATCGCCATTTTATTAAGTCATTAATAAAGGTTTTTTGTTTTGCTTCAAAATAAAAATAATAATAGTAACTAAAGGGAAAACATGAATAATAATAATAATATTAATAATAATAATAATAGTAATAATAATAATTATTATTATTCTTCCTAACCCCAATAATAATAATAATAATAATAATAATAATAATAATAATAATAATAATTATTATTATTATTATTATTATTATTATTATTATTATTATTATTATTGTACTAAAAAAAGCGGCGCAAATGGGTAAAAAATAAGAATCTTAAGAGAAGAGGAGACCTAAGAGGCTAAGGCACTATCATGCACTTGTTCACCTGCCCCTAAGAACGAAGAATGAAGCAAGGTTAGAGAGTTTATTTTAATAAACAAATTTTTCATTTGGAATAAGGGTAAAATATGCTATCGAAATGTGATAATGCAATTAGGCCATTGAACCTAAAAAATCAACAATTAGGTCCCTAAATTAATCAATTTCAAACAATTTTTTCAATTTGAAAGTTTCCAACAGGTCAACGATCATCCCTCTCAAATTAATTATTTTAAAAAAAATAAATTTTAAAAATCGACCGTGGAGACGAAAAAATCGACCGGAGTCCTGTTTTTTTTTTTTTAAATTTACATAATTAATTTTTAAAATTTATTTTTTTTTAAAAATAATTAATTTGAGAGGATGACCTGTTGAAAACCTTCAAATTCGAAGAACTGTTTGAAATGAGTTAGTTTAGGGTCCCAATTGTTAGTTTTTTAGGTTCGGTGACCTAATTAAAAATGATTGTGTGCAGTTGGATGACCTATTTGACCCTTATTCCTTTTCATTTTAACACTTCTTTAATTCTCTATTTTCCATAAAATCTTTCATTTTTTTCATTTTGGCAAATAGCTTCGAAGTTTGTACTCCTTTAAATGGAGAAATGGAAAAAGCGTGGGCGAACAATGCTTAATATATAGTGTCTTAGTTTGCGGGTTTGAATTCTCCCTACGCATGTGAGCTTCCTCTTCCCTTAAGAGTGTGTGTTTGAAAAATGGTAAAAAAATTTCAGTCAACGAAAAATGACTTTTAGTCAAAGAAAAAATAGCTTGATTTTTTCGGAAAATGATTTTTTTTTGGGAGTCATTTTTTTTTATCCAACTGCTTCTTCTTCCTAGCTTCTTATGAGAATGCTTCATCGGCTTTCTTCCGCCATCCTCCGCTTTCTATCTTGACTAGTTTCCGACGAAACTAGACCAATTTTCGCTAAAAACCAATCTAATATTTACTGGTTTCCAACGAAAACCAGTCTGGTTTGTACTGGTTTTCGTCAGAAACCAGAAGAAACTAATACTCTTTTAAATAAATAAATAAATAAATAAATATATATATATATATATATATATATATATATATATATATATATATATATATATAATTGAATTGTCTTCTTTTAATTTTTTTATTTTTATTTTTGACCGGAAATTCTCACAAAGAAGGGAATTGCATTGCCTGTTTTCACTTTCTTTATTTAAAGTTTAGAAGGCATTAACATTGCATTCTTTCCACTCTCAATCTTTTAAAAGTTAAGAAGGAGGCAATAATAGGCAATTTTTATTACTTTGAAATGTTTTCAAAAAAAAAAAATCACATAAACAATGATTTTAAAATTTTAAATAGGGTTGGATGATAATAATAACGTTGTTTTAAATATTTTTATTATGTATTTATTTATTTTATTATTTGTATTGCGATGAATTTGATAATTATAAATGTATAATTA